CCAAGTAATTTGAAAATTAACCATTCAAATAAATACAAGTGTGTTTTGCATAGGAGACTCACTGATAAGTGAGTCTCCTTTGGACTTGAATAAATTGCATTGCTAGATAGTTTAAGATAGGAAAACTTGAATTGCATTGGAATATACATTTGTTTCTATTTTAAAAAATCTCTGCAATGTGGTAAGTTCCAAAAATATTGGGACTGTAACTACCCTTGAGAAGCAACAGATAGTTACAAAATACTAGAAGAGCACATTTGAAGGGAATTTTACAAGGATGAACTATAGCTTTATTAAATTGATCCTCATGATCTCATAAAATCCCATTCACTTTATACTAATGCTGCTACTATTTTTGTTGTCTTTTCCCTTTGCTTAATATCCACATACTACTTGGATTCAGTTTTGAGCTCTCTGCACCTATGAAACTGAACACTAATGGCTGTAGATTTGGAGAGAATTAACAAAGGAGGTCTAGACATTTTCTAAAAGACTTATTTTGATTCTTAGAGCTTTTATCACTTTTTTTCTTCTGTCTCTCAATTCAGTCTTCTCTCATTTCTGGCTCTGATCTGTGTAATACAGACACTTACTTACCTGACTTGCTTGTTCTCCAAAATGGGGCATCTCTTGGAGAGGCTATGGGTATGCTGAAAATGGTGGCTGCAAGCACAATTAACCCTACTCTATTTTATGGGTGTTGCATTTAAGTGCCATGAAAAGGAAAAGGAAAAAGTCTATTGTGTGGTTGTGGCCATCATCTGACTTTGTTGTTCTCCCTCCTTAGAAATGATCTACAGACTGTTACAGAATTATGCAATTAAAGTTTTCCTGTTGCTATATTATTTCCTAAATAAAGCTTTTATTTCCCCCCAAATGTGTTGTTTAAAAATGTTTTCTTATAAAAGTTATACTCTTAAGTTTGATGTTTTTCTCAACTTGTACCCTTAAAGCTGTATTTGCTATTTAGTTGTTTCTTGTTTCTGTGGTACATCTGTTTGGAAGATGAATTTATGAAAAAAAAAGACTATACAATATGGATGCAAATCCAAGACAGCACATGATCCATAAAGTCTGAAGTGCCACAGTTATGTCTACTTCACCAGGTACTGTCTTCCATCTTGCATCCTCTTTCTTTTACTTTTTTCCATGCACTCTTTCTACCATTTTCTCCCTCTCAGTGGAAACTGGGGCAGGTTTACAGAAAGAAAAAGAACTAAATTATTGCAGGTGGGGAGAATTAATATAAATGATTTTTTTTGTTCATTCCCCAAAATTACTTATCAGAAAATCCTTTTTACCCAACATAGGTAAAACACTGTGAATCAATTTAAATGTCCCTATTGTGATTGGATGTCATTATCTAACTAAAAGCTGCTGTAACCAGTTTTGGATAATTTGGCTAGGTGTGGGAAGCACTCTCTTAGAGGATGAGAATCTTAAAAAAATTGGAATGATCTTGGACCTGATGTATATCCTATTGTATACATTATACTGGTAGAAGCCAATAGGGCCATAGTACTAGTCATGTCAATTGCCACTTGATTGGACCAGTATAACATGTTCAGTGGGACTGACACCAAAATCATTCAGAAGATTCAAGCAAGGCAAAATGTATTCCTAGAATTTTGATTGTTCAAAGTAATATAATTATTATATACAGGTTGATTTGATTATGACTAAATATGATATTTGGAGCTTAGTCCTTAGTTCCTTTTATCTTCAGTTTGCTGTCTATGGTGGGTCATTTATTTTCATTTGGGCCAATAATCTGCTTCTAACAACATCAGTACATTCTAGAAGGCTTAGAAGTCAGCACTAAATAAAGCACCCACTTCTTTAGCAACTTGCCTTTGATATGAGAATTCCATATTATTTATTAATGGCAGAATAACTTTCATCATATGAGCAAAGTTGAAGGTTCATGTGGCTATTCCTTTTCCAAAAGGGGAGAAAGTTGGGATAATCTCTAGGCACAGGCAGAATGCTTATATTTTATGGAGGCTAATCTTGTGAAGACCGAGGAATCGTTATATGCACAAAAACAGGATCTGTCAAGATGTGGAAAGAATGTTAAAGATAAGATTATAAAAAGCCTCATCCACTCTCTTCTTTAGCCAGAAGTCTTAAAAGTGATAATCTTTATATCACACCTTCCCCAAGCATGTACTAACAAATTGATTATAAGCCAGATTTTAGTATACTCAATAAATAAGTTATTCAGTTGGTCATGTATGCAGTTTGTAAATCACGTTCTTCATTATTCACTGCAACTTGAAAAGGGGAACAGATGAACGTGTGTCAAACCACTTCCTATGCAATTGTTACACATCCCTGTCTTCCAGGAATATCCCTGGAATATAAGGAATGTTCCCTGGGAAAGTAAATACAGATGGGAATCTGGGCCTTTCTGTTCTCAGTCCTTTATTTAGGCTCATCTTATGTTAAATAAAGACTGTAGAATATTTCATCCAGCTCCAGTACTTGCCTCTTTATTGTCACCACAAAGTATAGTGGAAATGACTTGTCATCACTTTCCCTTGCAGACAGCAAGGATTTCACTCCATTCCAGATTTACTTGTGTTAAATAATTTGTTCTCACTTGTTAGTTTACATCTGTTCAGTGTTTAGGAATATTTCCTAGTTAAAATCCCCGATGGGTCTGGCTGAAAATGTAAATCAATCCATGAAAAGGTGGGGTGGATAGTAAGAGACAAATGCAGAATCAATCCTGCTACAGGAAGGAATAATGAATTGGCATAACATTAACTTTGTAGCTTGCTGGAAAGCAAAATAAGCAGCAGTAAGGAATCCTCATAATGAGAATCTTATTAGCCTGTCAATAGCATCCAAATAATTCTGGCTTCCCAGAGACTACAGGGGGCTCCAGTAGAAATTTGTGGGTTGACTTTATTTCTTTTCCTACAAGCCTTTTCCAGGCTCAATTCTTCGGCTTTCCTTTGAAATGAACTTGCTCCTTTTTGAAATACTGTTACATCTCTGTAGGACTATGATCCTGAATGTTCAGGTGGTAAAATATTACACAGCTAAAGCAATAATGATCAGGTCTCATTTGGCCCCATGCAACAATTTGGGAAATCCACTTGCAATATTTTCAAATTTGGGGCTCAGATAAATTTCCCTGAAACTACTTCCACTGTTGCTTAGCACTCATGTTTAAAAGTAAGGCTACTTCTATCTATATTTATTCTTAGATGTCTGAATCGAGGTGATGGTCAATTTCCCAGGTCCTTTGATTTCCTTCCAGGTTGGGATGCCTACAATCTCAAGCTTTCTGATGCTTCCTGAGTGCTCCAAAGGCAAATGCTGGGGGCGGGTGTGTGTGTGTGTGTGTGTTAAGGGATTAGGACTAGCAAGCAGAGGAACCCTCCTCAAGAAAAGGTACACTCTCGTACAAATGGGAGGCTAAAGCTCCTAGTGCTCAAGGTGGTTTGATTCTGAGTAAATGCGGTGGCACTGCCTACCTGCCCGCCCGCCTAGCTTCAGAAAGGATGCTTGCTCCACGGGGATAAGCCATTCCCCCCTCCCTACGGCTGCCCTTACAAGTTGCCAAATCTAGAACCGAGATCCTGCGCCTGCTACTAGTGATCCGTCGGAGTGACTTCCGATCCAACTGGAGTAGATTAGTGCCAGTCGCTCTGTTGCCTTCTCCCCGCTGTTAGGGCTTACCCTTGCCTACGCACAAATCTCCGCCTGTTAGTTCAATGGCTTCTGCTGAGATCTGTCAGCGGTGTGGAGGAAGCACAGGCGACCCCTTTTTCTAGCGGTTGGAAAATCCCCGAGAGGAACGGTTGGGGGGGGCGGGGGGGGGGGAGGAAGACCTTTCGTTCGGCAGCCGCATTGGCCGCTCGCTTCCTGTTCTCCCCGCCAGGAAAGTGGGGAGAAAAATCCCCGGCGGTGGTCCTCCTCTAGGCTTCTCTCATCGGCTGTTGTTGTTTTCCAGCCCACGCGCGCCAGTGTAGTTTCCTTACACTCGCCCTGTTAGCACCGAGGCAGCCGCTCGGGCGCGCACACACCGCCGGATTCGGCTGGAAGTGCAGCGTGGTTGGTGAATTGCTGGTGTATTTCATCCGTGGCGTTTGGCTCGGGAGCAGCAGCTCCTCCCCTTGGTGGTGCTATCCTCTTACTTGGTCAAATCCTCGAACGTGAACAGTTTCACTGAAAAGCACGTTTTTTTAAAAAAAAAAAGAAAGAAAGAAAAAGAAAAGAAAGAAAAGGGAAAGAGAAAAATCCAGCAACAGTGAAAAGAACAGAATCCAACTACAGGACTTTTTGTTGTTGTTGTTTTTTCAAAGGAAAAAAAAAACAAAAACCAAACCCCCCAAAACGAAATCCCTGCACCTCAATCACAGAGGTTGAAAAAAAAAGGTGGAAGAAGAAAGCTTTGGCTGCAAAATAATAACAACCTGCTGGCCGCTGCGCTCCCTCCCTCCCGCTTAGAAAGGAGCCCCCCACCCCTCCCAACATACATACCCAACTCTCTGCAAGGCATGGAGAGAGGGGCTGGCTGGTCCTCTGGCTGCTACGTCGCTTGGATCGCCTCGGCATGGCTTTTATTTGGCGCTGGGTCGTTTGTCGGGGCTGAGATAACTTGCAGGTCTTGTTTCCAGTCGTCTTTATCGCCCACATCTTTTCGGGTTAAGCTGCTGCAGTTGCCGTCGCCGCTGGAGGTTCCTCGGGGAGTGAAACTCGGGCCAAGCGGCGACGGAGATGGGGAAACCCTGCAGGAGAATCCCCGTGGAGGATGGGGTCCAGCGGGAGAGGCCGTGGAGGAAGAAGGCGAAGCGATGGGAGCGCCCCGAAAGGATCCCCAGCCGGCGAGGGCGCACGGCTCCGCACCCGCGACGCCCGAGGAAGCCACCGGCGGGCCCCCGAAGGAAACCGAGAGGACGCGCCGGAGCCCCGATCTCGGCGGCTCCCACCAACTCGGGAATAGAGCGAAAGGCAGTGGAAGATCCTTGCCTTCCGTCTGGGCTGAGATGCAACAGATGCCCGGAGGAGTGTCTGTCGGGGAATCGCCGGGCGGCAGCCCCAGAGCACGGAGGAGCAGCGAGGATTGGCAACCCTTCGGCCCGGACCGGCGCGGGGCAGAAGGAGGGGGTTGGGACGCCTCCTTTCCGGACGGCCAAAATGCCCGAACTCCCGGCAGAGGCTCCAAAGAGGAAGGGTGGCTGGGCAAACTGCGCGGGGGCGGAGGCGAAGAGTTGAAACTCTCCAGCACGACCTTTGCCCTGAACGGAGACTCGGCCCACAACCAGGCGATGGTGCACTGGTCCGGCTACAACAGCAGCGTAAGTCGACGAGCCGGCCAGGAGGACGGGAGGGGCGAACGGTGGGGAGCGGGCGCGGGGGGGGGGGGAGTCTCCCTCTGCAAAGTCTCCCGGCAGACCCTCACTAGTGGCTTTTCGGTCCTCTCCCCGGTGCAAAAGTTTCTGGTTCCGCCTGACGCTGGGCTAGTTGGCGAGAGAAACTCACGCGAGTGTCTCAATCTTTTTGGCAAAGGGGCCGCGGAACACTAACTTGATCAGCACCACGGAAAGGGAAATCGGAGCTTTTCTTATCCGTGGCTGTAAGGATGGCTGTGGGCCGCTGGAGGAAAGTTAGATCAAGCGGTGTGTTTCAGCAGCGGTTTCTTCCCCCCACCCCCGTTTGCTTTTTGTTTTAAACTACTATTGCCCCCGGAAGAAAATTGTGCTTGTTGCTTGCCTTACAAAGCAGTCACACTGTTGATTTCTCGGTCTTATTTCCCCCCTTCCCGTTTGTAATAGGGCTGGGTGAGATGTGGGGAGAGGATGCTCAGTGGCACTGTGCTGGAAAATGAGTAATGAGGAGTGGGAGCGAGAGAGAAGGATGGTGGCCTTCGCTGTTGTTCAGAACCTGGCATTTGATTTATTAAGAAATGATACAGCCCCTTCTTCCTTTCCATATAAGGAAGGAAGCAAACACTATAGATGGTTGCTTTTAAACTAATCAGTGGAAATCAACTTTTCCTTACCTGCAAAATAAGACATTGCTACATTTATAAATGCATAGACACATATAAATGTCAAAGATGATTCTAGTAATTATTCATATGTACAATCATACATGCATATATTGTATATTGAGAAGAATATCTAAAATTTCCTATAGATTATACATTAAGAATCTTTCTCTGTTTTTCTTTCTCATAAACTCAGTTTTATCAAAAGGTGGCGCCCTTGAAATCTGATTTAAATACCTCTGCTGGCGGATGGAGCAATATTACATGCCATTTATTTGCTGGAGAGAGCAATGAAAGGGACATTGTTAAGTTAGAAACACAACTAGCTAGAGTCTGGGTTTATAAGCCTTGTAGGACAACCATAAGAAGAATGAATGGTCAATTTTCTCTTAAAATTTATGTTAAAATATTATGGTCAGTTCTCCTATAAAATCTGGGCAGGGGATAGGATTTTATTTGGAGGCTTATACAACCTGTTGTAGACAGTGTGCTCATTATTTTCTTCCTTTTTGTTTCTACCTATATTGTAGTCAGCTTTAGAACATATCTGGATTTAAAAATTCAATATCCACGTACAGATTCATATTCCCTATTCTCGGGTCGCTAATTGGTCATTTATGATCCCAAGTTTGAGTCTATATGTCTATGTCATCAGAAACAACAACACTTTTTCTGGTGTCTATTTATTTTCAGAAAATGCTATCTTTAGCTTAAGATTTCGTTAGCAATGCAGAGTTAGATGCATGTTCCTGTAGGGCCCTGTTGTAGATGTCACTTTTACTAAATATAAAAGCAATATTATGTCTTAAAAGAGTATCATGTCTGCATTGGGCAGTATGTTTGAGTAATATATATAATAAAACCTGCAGAGCCTTCTTTTTCATGCTTTAAGGGTGTGGTGGCTTGTGGCCGCCAAAATAGCTGATATGAATATGGATATTCTGTGTGAATTTTGAATTCCTAATGCTTTTTTTGGAAAGGAGACTCCCCCCCCCCAGATATATTTTAAAACACCTATGAAATAGTATAATTCTCAGTATAAAATTAAGTGCTTCTCAGTGGTTGTAATTGGATTGTATGGCATAGGAAACCAACGTGAAGCAACATAGAAATAGTACATAGCAGCAGCATTCTGATCTTTTTGATGTTTCAAGTGAAAATATCTGCTACAAAGAAGCCGCATTTCATAAATGAAATGAGTTATTTTGGTGTTTGCATGAAAGGAAAAAACAAGTCAGCCAGTAATAAATAAATTACATCCATCTATGATTTCAATAAAGAGAGCCTGAGAATTTGGTTTTTTTCCCCTTATTCCTGGGAGAAAGCATAACTTCGTGTTTAGGATTAATTGACTACATTTTTTTTGAAAAACTAAGCTTCATTTCCCTGTAGAAGTCAAACACTCAGTTTGACTGAAAAAAGGCAAAGTTATCAGGAGGAAAAACAAAACAAAAACCAATACTCCCTGAGGAAGCCTGGCTGGCTCCTTTTTCTTGTCTGCTACAGCAGGGGTCTCCAACCTTGGCAACTTTAAGCCTGGAGGACTTCAACTCCCAGAATACCCCAGCCAGCTTTGCTGGCTGGGGCATTCTGGGAGTTGAAGTCCTCCAGGCTTAAAGTTGCCAAGGTTGGAG